CAAACACCAGGTTGTTTGTGAACACCTTGCTCAGGTACTGCACCGGGGTCAGCCAGGACTGGATGAGAGCCAGGGAGAAACGGAGAAGCTCCATGTCCTGAAAATAAGACACGAAAGGCTCAAAGCTGTGGGGGGGATGTGTTTGGTGGGGTGTCCTGCTGCCTCTGGAACAGCCTGGAGGTGACCCAGGGATGTGCCACGGCTCCTGCAGCTTCAGCAGACACCAAGTTTTCAGGCTGGGGAGCACCACCTGTGTCCTGTGCAGACAACAGCTTTTCTCATCCTTGGGAAGGGAATGTGATTTATAGGGTAACCAAGGTTATATCAGGGATGAAGCACCCAAGTGTGCACAGGTGGAAACCCTCTGTTCCTGCCCTGAGGCACAGCTGGGCTCCTCAGCCAGGTCTGTGCTTGCCCTGAGGGTGAGGACTTACGGATTTCTGCTGGGCATCGTCCTTCTTCATGGGAGCAGGGATCATTTCCGAGTAACAAAACGCTGCCTGGGAATTCTTGGTCGTGTGCCGTTGGTCCTCTGGAATGTAGGTGCGTTCCTGTGGAGACAGCCCAGACACACCCAGACATGTTGCCCACGTCCTCTGGAAGACCTTCCCAAGCTGTCCTGAGTGGTTACTCTTGGCAAGAAGTAGATGTGAGACACGAAGGTGCCTCAGGACAGGGTGGGCAGGTGGGAAGCAGGAATATTGTGTTGGCACAATAGCTACTGGACCTAAGGATCTTCCTCTCACTGAGCCAAGGTGAACACAAACCACCAGGACCGGGCTCTCCCAAGGAGGAAATGGCCCCCAAGGACAGCTCTTGCCAAAGGGAGAGCTGGTGGCAGATCCTGGCAGCAGCAGAAACGGGAGGGGTTTAAGCACTCAGACTCTCCAGGGCAAAAGGTGACTCTGACAGGAAAGTCTGGCAAAATATCTGTGCCCGGGAAGGGGAGTGTGCAGGATCAGAGAGCTGAGAGGGGGAAACAGGGTGCAGTCCTACCCTGTTCACACCCCTCAGCCTCCTGGGAAGCAGAGAGAGGGCACAGCAATGGCTGAGAGGTCCCTGTCACACATCCCCAAGCCATCGAGCTCAGGCAGAGGGAGGCCCCAGCACTTACGAACTCCTTGTAGGTCTCGGCAGCCAGGAGGTGAAGGTGCTGAGCCCTCAGCACAGCGTTGGCAAACAGGCTGGCCAGGGGCATGGCTGGGAAGGTGGCAGCTGGCTGTGCCCACTGCAGCCCCACCGTGATCACAGCGATGGCCAGAGGAGACAACCAGGACCCTGCAGCAAAGCCGAAAGGGTCAGCAGGCCTGGGGCCACTGTGTGAGGAGGGGAATTCATTCCCACTCTCTTCTCTCCATGGCTGAGGGGTCCTCTTCCCTCAGCCCTCCCCAAAATTCAGGCATCATGCTGATCCTTCTCTGAAGCTTGGAATATAAATTTTAATATCCCTGCCAACATTTATGCTAATAACAACAACTGTAACTGGCTTGGCCTTGTTCTTCACGTTCTCCATGCCCTGTTTAGGTTCATGGATTAAAGTCACACTGCAGGGAAAGGTATTCTTTGTCACTGGTTTATAAGTTGCCATGCTTTAAGTTAGGGCTGTCCCAGAGTGTGTCCCACCACAATACCACCCCATCCTCACCTCCCATCACCCCCCACACATGGCAGCACTGGCAAATCCCTGAAAACCGAAATAAAAAGTACCTGGAGCCATTTCTGCCCGGCGAGTTGCTCAGGTGTTGCTTGGCAGTGAATATTTCTCCCTTTCATGAGGCGAGGGGAACTGCTGAGCCCCCCTTTATATAGCAGGGGGTCTGTTTAACATGGATCTGCGTGTCCACGATCACCACAACAGCTCTGCACCTTCTCTGTGCATAAATGCACGAGTTTTCACAATGGTGCCACCTCACCCTGGTCATCCATACACAGATGTGCAGCCTGGGCACGTTGTTTGCCTCAGTGTGAAATCAGGATTTCGCCATATCCCGCTGTTTGTTGCAAATAAAAGTTTCCTGGCCGTTGGAAGACCCGTCCCAAGTCACATCAGTGCTTTTACGTGGTGACATTTGCTTTGTCCACCTGGTTTTCCTGCCTGGCTCTGCAGCCTTGGCCCGCAGTTCACAGGCTTCACTGGCCAGTTTGGGAGATTCCTCACTTAAAGCAAATGACAGCTTAGGTCAGGGGAGGTTTAGATTGGATATGAGGGAAAATTTCTGAGCCAAAAGGGCTGTCCAGCCCTGGCACAGCTGCCCAGGGCAGTGGTGGAGTCTGATCCTTGGAGGGATTTAACAGCCCTGTGGATGTGGCACTTGGGGACATGGGTCAATGTGGCCTTGGAATGGTTGGACTCAATGATCTCAGAGGGCTTTTCCAACCTAACCAATTCTGTGATTCTGTGGTGTTTTCCCCTTTGTTATTAGTGGGGATGGAGCTGGATGGATGTCAGATTCATCCCATCTTTTTCAATTTCTACCAAAATGTCAAATATGAGTGAACATCTTCCTTCTCTGCAGCAGATTAAGCAGAGGGCTGGTGTGGAAAGGAGACAGAAGAGAAGGGGAAGAGATGATGGGGAAGAGAAGATGGGGAAGAGAATCATAGAATCGTAGAATCATAGAATCATAGAACCATAGAATCATAGAATCATAGAATCATAGAATGGGTTGGGTTGGAAGCTTAAAGACCATTTAGTTCCAACTCCTCTACCATGGGCAGGGACACCTTCCATTAGACCAGGTTTCTCCAAGCCCCATCCAGGCTGGCCTTGAAGAGGGGAGGTCACAGCACACCCCTCCTTGCTTTTGAGCAGAATCTCAGGTGGGCAGCTCCAGAGAGGTCCTAAAGGCCCTTTACTCCCCTTTTACTGCCCCAAACCACGCTGTTTTGATCTTTTACCTGGGATCCAGCACCTGCCCCTGGTTGGGTGGTGATTTGGCTTCCCCAGGCCCTGGGTTTGCCATGTCTCCAGGTGTGGATCCAGTTTCCAAGAGGCAGCATCACCCCGGGGCAGCTGGAGCAGGGGTGGAGGGCTGGTTAATAAATTAATAAATTAATAAGCACGCTGGGAGAGCGTGGGCTGTTCCAAGAACCCCCAGGGTGGAGATGGGGGGGTGCCACGGGGTAAATGTCAGTCCCCAGAGCAGAGGGAACAGTGGGTCCTGCAGGATCAGGTGTCCTGTCACACAATAGCAGCCAACATCTGGTTGTGTTTTTCTGCTCCACGTCGGGTTTAAATATGTCAATACTGGCCAGGGATGAGCAGAGCAGCAGCTGCCCAGCCCAGCCCACGCTCTGCTGCCTGGGAAGGGTGGTGAGGTACCACTGCAGCTCCTGGCACCCCTGTCCTGGCCCACGCTGGCTGCCTCTCTAGCTCTGGCAGTGAGAGCATGGTGCTCAATCAACATTTTATGGTTGCAGCCAAGCCTGGAGAGGTGGGATGATCCAGACTGTGTGGTTCTCCCGAGGCTTGGTTTGTCCCCAATCATCTCTGGGCATTAATTGAGGCAGAAGGACTGTGGGGAAGGCAGGATGTGACTGAAATGATGGGCTGAGCAAACACGCACCCCTGGCACAACTGCAGTTGCATAAGCAGCTGTCACATCTCATTTCGGCTTTTTGTAGCTTTCAAATACCTGCATTTGCAACCTAAAGGAGCAGCTCGTAAATGCAAAGTGTCACTCTGCAATTTCCAAGCTCCTTTTCTTTTTTGAAAGAGTAAAAAAAACCCCTCAGCTCTCTTTGGGATGGTCCCATGTCCACCCACCTCACCCTGAGCATCACCAGCAGAACAAGATAGAGAATCATGGAATGGTTTGGGTTGGGAGGGACCTTAAAAACCATCCAGTCCCACCTCCTTCCACCAGCCCAGGTTGCTCCAGCCTGGCCTTGGACACTTCTAGGGATCCAGGGGCAGCCACAGCTTCTCTGGGCAACCTGTGCCAGGGCCTCCCCACCCTCACAGCCAAGAATTCTTTCCCATTATCCCATCTAACCCTGCCCTCTGGCAGTGGGAAGCCATTCCCCCTTGTGCTGTGCCTCCAGGCCCCTGTAAATAGTCCCTCTCCATCTTTCCTGGCAGCTCCCTTGGGCTGAAGAGCTCCAGAGCTGCAACCCAGTCCATGCAAAACTGGCCACCCTTGTGTAAGCACCCCTGATTCCAGTTTCCAACCTGTGGAAATATATTGTGCTGCAGTTTTCCCTGAGAAAACCTCCTGTTTTCTGCCTCCATAAATGCTGGTTGATGTTTTCAGCCTGGCCCCTCACTAAAGCAGCCCAAAGCCTGCTGAGTTTCTGCCTGACCGCTCGGCCTGGGGGTCCCCTGCTCGTGCTGCTTTGCCACATGGATCATTACCTCTCTCCCTCGCTTCTGGGATTGGTTTTCCATGCTAATTAGCCTTCAGAAAAGCCATTGCCAGGGAAGTGTGCAAGAGCAGTCAGTCACACTGTGCCTATGGAGTGCAATTTCCCCGTGACTGGCTCGGGGCTGCAGCACAGGAACCAGCTCCAGGGATTTCAGATCCCAGCAATATTCCCTCCCCATGCCCTGGGGAATGTCACAGCCACTGCCCAAACCTCAGTTTCTCCATCAGTAAGATGATGGTCCTGACACTCATTAGCAACTCAGCTGGAAAGCAGATAATGACTGCAGAGAGACAGGTGAATTAAAAATAAATCTAATCTACTCTGCTGAAAACAAAGCAAAACCAGTCAATTTAACCCCTTTCCAGTGACTCAAAAACCCCCCATGTTTTAAATTGAAATGCAGCAGCAGCGAGTTGTCCAGGAACAGGCAGCAGCAGGGAATAAAACACACCCTGGGAAGAGTCATCCATCCCTCCTTTGTCAGTCTGTCTCTCCAGCAGTGGCTCTGACACCATCCTGTGCCTCCCAGCAGGAGCTGCCACTCAGGAACCATCAGTTCAACTGCACTCAACTGAACAGTTGCAGCTCAGCTGTGCCTGGGAAAGGGCTGACTCACTTTGGAATTTTGGGAAAGTCACCCACTGCCTGCCTCAGTTTCCCCACGTGTGGAATGGGCTTTTCAGGAGTGCTCCTTATCAGAAACATTTCCCACTGTTTCAGCTGGAAAAACCCCTTCCCAGGACACTCCAGAGGTGCTTGGGACCAGCTCCTGTGCATTCCTCAACCCAGTTATAACAACGAGCTCAGAGTTGGTCATATTTTACCCATTTATTAATATGGACACTTTGGGGGGAAAAAACTCATCTCTAAGTCAAAGATTTGGTCCTTGGAGATTCTGATCAAGCTGTGTTCTGGCTGCTCCTCGGGGCATTAGGGTTGTGACTCATTTCCTTTTCATTGTTGTGATTCACTGATGAATATTCGTGGTCTAATATGTGCCTGGTTCTGTATTCTGATTTCCTTTTCATTTCCCTGCATCACTGTTAGCAATGTGACCACAGCTCACCAGGAAAACCGAATCTGAAATGGTGGCAAATGTCTGCAAGTCAATTAAAACCTGGATTTATGACGGTGCTCCTGCTGCCTCAAGAAAGGCCATATATTTTCCTGATATTCTGGGGAAATTGCTCTGAGCCTACGAGAAAGCCAAGCTCAGGTTGTGGTCATTGAATATTTCCATGGGCAAGATTTGCTTCAGGTGTTTTGCTCAGTGGGGAAACCTGGCTGCTGAATTCCTCCAAGACACCATTTTTAAAGGAATCATGGAGTCATAGAAGGGTTTGGGAGGGAAGGGACCTTAAAAGTCATGTTATTCCACCCCCCTGCCATGGGCAGGGACACCTTCCACCAGCCCAGGTTGCTCCAGTCGATGCAATAGTCTGGATGAATTTGGGGGAAATGAGCAGAATATTCTCCCCTGCCAGAAATAAGTTTATTGCTCTAGAACAGAACAGTGATGACTGCAAAAATTAATTTTAAAAATCAATCTAAAGATAATTTCTACAATTCTACGTTAGCTTTCGGGTACTGCTGGTAGTCAGGACCAGCCCTTGGTGATGTCTCCAGACTCCAGCAATGGGTTAATGCACAACACACTTGGTTTCTGCTCTGTGAAACCCCTTCTCGTGGCTTTGCAGCTCTTTAGTGGTGCAGGAAGCACAAATTAACAGTGGGTCAGTGCAGCAGAGCCTGTGCTTCGCCTCATGAGCCCCTTCTGCTCAGACCTGCCTATTTCTAGGGGTAATTTCACTGGTGATGGCCCAGGGCAGAGCCATCAATCCCATGCAGATGCTGTTAAACACGGCTGACACCCTCACAACACCTTCTGCAGGCTGATCACCCGCAGTTTAATGACTGGGGTGATTTTATAGCCGGGATTTCCCCTCCCTTTGAGGGAGAGTCTGTGAATTGCTTCTACCACCACAGCAGAAGGCAGAGAGGAAGCCTTGACCCAGCAGAGGCTTAGTGGAAACCATGACTCTTAATTCCCCCTTGAAACATGACAAAGCACTGCAGGATTTGCCCGGGAGGGAGCTTGGCCCTCTGGGCAACCCCAGGTTGGTGGGAGCATCCAGCACCTTGTAAACATGGAGCAAATGAAAAGGGAAAGCCAACACAAGCCCTGCAAATACCCAGGGGCTGGAAAATCAGGGTGAAGCTGGATTGTGCTGGCTGAGCTTCCCCAAGGAGCCCATGTTCACAAGGTTTGCCTCCCTACAGACCCAGCCACGAGCCCGTTCCGAGTGGGAATCCACACAAGGAGTGCTCTGTTGTGGCTGGGGACCATCTGGGCCTCTCCATCCCCATCCCCTCTCACAAATGTGTTCAGCCTGTCTCAGCTGCTGCAGGCTCTGGGCGTTTGTGCTGGCAGAGGTCCCTCATTGTCCTCTTTTGTCACGGCTCTGGCTCTGGTCAGCAGCAGTCAGTGAATTCATAAACCAGAGGAGCTGTCAGGGCTGAGGGAGATGAGTGTTGGATGGGGACCGGACAGATGTTCTCCACCCCTGAACCCACAGCTGCCTGCAAAGCCCAGTGGTGATTCATTCCCATTCCAGCCCCCCAGCTCTGCCTGGGCTGCAGTCTGGGCAGGCAAAGAGAAGGATCTGACCTCTCACAAATCCTGCCGTGCCCTGTCACACCAATTACCTTGCTGGATTTAGCAGTTTAAGCTTAAATTTTATGTGTTTTTTAAAAGGCATTTTATATGGTTCTTTTTATAACATTTTATGTGGGGTTTTTTTAAACAAAGAATGATCCTATTTCTTAACCATGCCATGCTTTCTTTTTATCATCTGCACAACCTCTCTCAGCAAGACATTTCTTTCCTGCAGTTTTCCGTGCAGTTAATTTAAATTATAATATTTCTCTGGAAACCAGCCCTGCAGAAACACTGGCTGCAGGCACAGGCACGTGAACCACAGAATGGTTTGGGTTGGAAGGGACCCTGAAGACCACCTAGTCCAGACCCTTCCAGCCTGGGCTACTCTGTGATCCCAAGAGGGTGATGCTCTGGGGAGATGGATTTTAGGCTGGAATTCAGTCCCTCCCCATTAACTCTTCCCAGTGTCCCCCAGAAAATGGCTCCTCAGGTTGCTCTTGGCAGCATCTGAAGACCAACTACAGGCATGAGCAACCAGACTTCCCTTGCTTTGAGTTCCACTTTGCTGGCAGAGAGCAAACCAACCCCATATCCAGGGAGAGGTCCTTTGCTTCTCCAGGATAAACACAGGAGCAGCAAAACCTGTGGCAGACAAAGGAAAACAAGCAGCTTGGAAAGCATGCCATCAGCAGCCTCTTCTCCCACATGCCAGTCCATCTGTCATTCCTCCACACACCCCTGCCACCAAACAGATGCTCACCAACATCTGTCCCCCAGTGGGATTCCCCCCCTGTAGGTGTTGCAGGATTCCTGGGTGCATTTGAGACCATTTATCTGCCCCACCTGAGTAAAACTGAGAGCAATTTTACTCTCAGTACCTGGGGTGGGGCTTAAACATTGATGAACTTGTGGGTTAAATCACGTTGGAGGCCGTGGCCTGTTCCCTGTTTGCTCTGGGTCAGATACCTGTGCTCGTGCCCTGCTCTAATTCCAACAGCCTGTGCAAGCTCCAGGATATGTTAAAAAAAGTGTAATGCAGGGGTTTGGTGGCTGAAAAAAACCTCTGTAGAAATGGTCTCAAAATCGCCCTCGTGCCCATGCTGTGAAGAGGAGGAGGCAATATGTTCTCCTTGCATCCTTGGCCATCCTGGAGCCACCTGCCCCAGCCTCCCCTTTGGGCTCTTCCCTCTCCTTTCATGTCCCTCTGCTTTGGTAGCCACAGGAAAGGACTTTTTAGTCCTTCTCCCTCCTTCTGTATTCAGCACCCCACAGAAATCCATACACAGGGGAAGGTGGGGAGCTGGAGGGAAACAGAGAACAACCATATAAATGTGGGGATAAAACCCGCAGGCACCAAAAGATCCTATTGTTTAAGAAATTTAATTCCCTTCACAGCTCTCAAAAAAAAAAAGGAGGGGAAAGAAAAGGGGGTGGGCAAGGGAAGAAAAAATGAGTGGTGGGTAGGTTTCTTCTTTTTGAAGTAACTGAGACCCCAAAGAAAGGCCAGGGTTGCAGAGAGTTGCTTCTTCAGCTCCAGAGGATCCCCTTGAAAACAGGGAAGGAGAAATGCAACCCCCACAACCTTGTGTCCCAAATCCCTGCGTGCCTTTGGTCCCCAGCGGGGTGACAGCCCCACATCACCCCACCACCTCCACCCGTGCAGTGCAAACACTAACGTGGGTCCTGTGTTTGCACCAGAAATCTCCTTCTGGGTGTGAGGGTCCAGTGCAAACAAATCCCCTCCCAAAACCTCAAAACTCAGAGAAGTGACACAAACAAACAAAAAAAAGCCCCATACAATGTTCTCCCGATTCCCAGTCTGCTCTGTGGCAGCCCCTGTGGATACAAACAGCTATTCGAGGACAAGTTCTCTTCCCACTCCTCACCCTGCAGCCCTTTTCCCCTGTTCTTTCCATGGCTAGGGAATCAGCGTGCTATTAGGGCTAATTAGGGAGCAGAGACCTCATTATGCCGTGGAGAGGGTGGGTGGGAGGAGAGCCCAGAGCGCTTGTGTGAGCAGATGGCAGGGGGAGAGGGGTCTCTCAGGGGGGTAAACCCAGCTCAGGAAAACGTTCCTTCCCCTCTCTGGCCCAGCCGACTGAATTTGGGAGAAGTGCAATTAATGACAGGAAAGGGGAGGAGAAGGAGAAAGGAGACAGGAGAGGAGTCAGTCAGTCGGGGGTAACTGAGGGGTGACTGATGGAGACACCTCGTTCCGGAGCCTTTGCTGCCTCACAGGGGAATAAGACAGGGATGGAACGACTCCCTCCCTTCCCGATGGCCTGGGGAGGATTTTCGGGACACCAAAACCCCCCCGTCTGCATCTCCAGGGCTGGCACAGCACCACCCAGGAGGAGCTGGGACAGCACAGCACGTCCCCCTCGGAATCCTCGGGGCAAAAAATCCACCCCGCTGCAAACTTGGGTCCTGTACTTGGTCCAGGAGTCAGCTCTTGTCTTTAAGGGACCAAGACGTGCTTGCTTTCCTTGCCAGCTCCACCATGTCCTCGTGACAGGCCCAGGGATGTCCCGTCTTTCAGTTTAAAACTGTCCCCCCTTGTGCTGTCACTAATAAAAGGTCTGTGCCCATATTTGTTCTAAGCCCCCGTTGTCTGTGCCGTCTGAGCTCTGCCTGCACTGGCAGTTTTAAGGATGGCCGTGGCAGCGGGGAGAAGAGGACAACACCCTTTTTCCAGGCTGGGAAAATCCTATTGGAAAGCAGAGCGGGAGCGGGCTGAAAAACAGAGCCACGGAGAGCAGGACTGGTGGTTTTGAGCTGACACCCGATGGTGAGGGGCGAGACTGCAAGCGGAGTCCTGGCCACACCGCCTCGGAACAACCGTGGGGTTGCAAAAAAAAAAAAGAGACCAGATTTCAGCAGAACACCAAAAAACACCCCAAAAAGTGAAGGAACTTTCAGCTGCAGTTTAGGCTGGTCTGGGACTGCCTGTCCCTCGCAGCTTCAGATCTGCCCGTGCTGGGTTTGC